TACACACATTCCCAAACTCATCCACTAACCTTCGCAATTTTTCTTTAGAATCTCCCATAAGCACAGTATCAGCGAAAAGTAACTGTGTCAATTCCCATTTTGAATTTGATTCCCCCAAATTTAATCCCACCCCTCTCCCGAACACCCTAGCATTTACTTCCTTTACAACCCCATCTATAAATATATTAAACAACCATGGTGACATTACACATCCCTGTCTAAGACCTACTTTTACCGGGAAGTATTCTCCCTCTCTTCTACACACCCTAACCTGAGCCTATCCTCATAAAAACTCTTTACAGCATTTAATAACTTACCACCTATTCCACATACTTGCAACATTTGCCACATTGCTCCTCTACCCACTCTATCATATGCCTTTTCTAAATCCATAAATGCAATAAAAACTTCATACCTTTCTCTAAATACTGTTCACATATATGCTTCAATGTAAACACATGATCTACACATCCCCTACCCACTCTGAAACCACCTTGCTCATCCGCAATCCTACATTGTCTTACCTCTAATTCTTTCAATTATAACCCTACCGTACACTTTTCCTGGTATACTCAGTAAACTTATTCCTCTATAATTTTTACAGTCTCTTTTGTCCCCTTTCCCTTTATATAAAGGGACTATACATGCTCTCCGCCAATCCCTAGGTACCTTCCCCTCTTTCATACATTTATTTAACAAAAGTACCAACCACTCCAACACTATATCCCCCCCTGCTTTTAACATTTCGGTCATGATCCCATCAGTTCCAGCTGCTTTACCCCCTTTCATTCTACGTAATACCTCACGTACCTCCCCCACAGTTACATTCTGCTCTTCTTCACTCCTAAAAGATGGTATACCTCCCTGACCAGTGCATGAAATTACTGCCTCTCTTTCTTCCTTAACATTTAAAAGTTCCTCAAAATATTCTCGCCATCTACCTAATACCTCCATCTCCCCATCTACTAACTCCCCTACTCTGTTTTTAACTGACAAATCCATACTTTCCCTAGGCTTTCTTAACTTGTTTAACTCACTCCAAAATTTTTTTCTTATTTTCATTAAAATTTCTTGACAGTGCCTCTCCCACTCTTTCATCTGATCTCCTTTTGCACTCTCTCACCACTCTCTTTACCTTTCTTTTACTCTCCATATACTCTGCTCTTCTTATAACACTTCTGCTTTGTAAAAACCTCTCACAAGCTACCTTTTTCTCTTTTATCACACCCTTTACTTCATCATTCCACCAATCACTCCTCTTTCCTCCTGCCCCCACCCTCCTATAACCACAAACTTCTGCCCCACATTCTAATACTGCATTTTTAAAACTATTCCAACCCTCAACCCCTCCACTACTCATCTTTGCACTAGCCCACCTTTCTGCCAATAGTCACTTATATCTCACCCGAACTTCCTCCTCCCTTAGTTTATACACTTTCACCTCCCTCTTACTTGTTGTTGCCACCTTCCTCTTTTCCCATCTACCTCTTACTCTAACTGTAGCTACAACTAAATAATGATCCAATATATCAGTTGCCCCTCTATAAACATGTACATCCTGGAGCCTACCCATCAACCTTTTATCCACCAATACATAATCTAATAAACTACTTTCATTACGTGCTACATCATACCTTGTATATTTATTTATCCTCTTTTTCATAAAATATGTATTACTTATTACCATATCTCTTTCTACACATAGCTCAATTAAAGGCTCCCCATTTACATTTACCCCTGGCACCCCAAATTTACCTAGATGTATGTATACATATATGCATGTGCGTGTCTGTGAAGTGTGACCAAAGTGTAAGTAGGAGTAGCAAGATATCCCTGTTATCTAGCGTGTTTATGAGACAGAAAAAGAAACCAGCAATCCTACTATCATGCAAAACAGTTACAGGTTTCTGTTTCACAGTCATCTGGCAGGACGGTAGTAGACATAAAAAAAAAAATAAAGAAGTAAAATGAACATACAGTACACTTATTAATCATTTTAAAATACTTGTGCTCTTAATGTAGGGTGAGAGGCAAGTAGTATTTATTGTACTAGGTCAAATGTGGTAGCCCGCCTGGCTGCCACACCTCATGATTGCTTGGTAGATTTTAGATATAGCAATTAATAAGTACGTAAACAAACACAGCAAGCTACTGGTACAGGTTTGTCCAACACACGTATGAACCGAACTGAAGGCTGGGAGGGTGGTGGGGGTGGCTGATGCTGGTTGGGGATGGCTTTAGCCCATCCTGCCCGGTGGGCGACCGTGTGCTCAAAATTTTTTCCCCTCTCGCAACCGTGTTAAACTAATTTTATGAAGTGTTAAACAAAAATATGCCGCAATTCTTCAATCGTCCTATAACCAAAACATACAAGACAAAACCGTGTTAAACAACTGTCTACTGTACTTACTGCCATCGACATACCTTTCTCAGAGTTTAAAGACACATTAATGAAAATGTCTATCATAATTTACAACATTTAAAGCCTCCCAGAGCAATTATTATCATTATTATTATTGCCATGGACATACCTTGTTCACAGAGTTTATTATTTTTTCTTATGAAAAGATAGAGAATCTTTTCCCGATCATAATGACACCAAAAGTATGAAATTTTATGGAAAACTTACGGAATTATGCTCTCATGAAGTTAGCGGTCTCAACGATGTTTACGCATCGGCAATTTTGCCCACTTTGAGCCCTATTTTCGGCCAATTCCAGTGTACTAGTAGACAAAAATCATAACTATTTCGCTAGAACTCCGTTTTTTCTATCGAATGAGTACAAGAAACCACCCATTTACCAATTGCAACTATCCAATGAAGTGATCAGAATTTAGCAATTTTACCAATTTCACACAAATTTCAAAAGATGCCAATTTCCAAATAGAGTCCAGAATAAACAAGAAAGACATTCCTCGAACTAAAATAACAAGCTCTCTGCTCGTTAGTCACATCCCCAGGCCCCTCTTATATTTCTTTGGCTTTCCACTTTGAATTTTTATTCTTACAAAAAAAAATAAGATTTACTGTTATGCAGACTACTGCATTAGTGTAGAAATGGTATAAATAATATCAGAGCACTTTTTTTTTTTTTTTTCAACAAGTTGGCCGTCTCCCACCGAGGCAGGGTGACCCAAAAAAGAAAGAAAATCCCCAAAAAGAAAATGCTTTCATCATCATTCAACACTTTCACCACACTCACACATAATCACTGTTTTTGCAGAGGTGCTCAGAATACAACAGTTTAGAAGCATATACGTATAAAGATACACAACATATCCCACATAACTCACCAGTTGATGTGTACTGGACGCTTGGCATGATTTGTTTACTTTTGAACTTTGGTAAAAATCGAACATTTCTGCTACTTTGAGCTCAATTTCAAGGTACTTTTCACTGTAAAACCAGTCAAAATCATCTCAATTTCTGTAATATGTCTTCCATTCTATAAAATGAGACCAAGAAAACTAGAATACAGCAATAAATACCATACAAAAATACAGTGCAAAATCGCTGTTTTAATCCAAAAACACGGTCTAAGTTTTTTTTTTCTCATTACGCAATGTGTGCTGCAGGATTTTTTTTATACTGCGCACACTGGCCCCACAGACCCATTCTTTCATATGTAGGCCTACCAGCTTTCACTAGATTTGAGGGCACTAGAATTTAGGCGTACTATTATGTCAAAAACCCTGGGTCGTAAGCCGTACTAGTATGTCCGAAACCCCCAAAGGGTTAAAGTAAGAGACTTACAACTCCTTGTTTTATCACTATAACATAGTGAACGGGTGGTGGGAAGTCAGACGAATGCAGTTCATACGTGTGCGGTTCGCATAATGTATGCGTTTGTATTGTGGGCAAAACCTCCACAAACACTTTACATTATATACAAGTTGTCTTCAGGCTGGTGCAGTAAGATAAATAACACTTCCATTCTCATGTAACACACCAATTTCAGAGGGAATGCTACTATGAATGAAGGCATACGAAAGGAAACTTTTTCTACAGTTACCTCCCACAGCTTCTCTGGTGTTGGACTAGAGAAAACTAAATTCTTGCTGTCAGTCCTACAAGCCGCCCGGCTACCACATCTCATATTTGTGTCAATTTGTTCTACTATGGTTGTATGTATTACGTTTTTATGATATGTAGCATGTTTCTTATGTAAATTTGCAAAAAATATAGATGGATTATTACAAATGTTAATAATAACATATGATATTTAAAGTTCCCCAAAGTAATTATTATTGCATCTTCAACACTGGTGACAGTGATTTTAATGTGTACGTGCATGCCAGCACAGTGTGCAAGTTCATTCAGGTACAGGTACATGTAAGTACAATTATCAGAGTATACATAAAATATGCAATAAATTTAAAACACTTGAAATTCTGGAAAGTTTTCAGACATAATCAACAGACATTGAGCTCACGGAGGATGTAAAGAGTGGTGCTCGGACGCCATAATAGTGAATCAGGGTGCTGTATACACAATTTTTTTTGTTGTAATTTTATATGTCCATTGTAGCGAATCACCATAAAGCAAAACACCATAAAGCGAGGCCCTCCTGTACCTCTAATTTAATATTGGCATCAGCAAAAATGTTATCCTGCTACTACTGGCAATTAAATTTCCTAAGTTTTCTTAAAAATTAATTTAAAACATGCCAGTGATAATATTGGTATACTAAAACTGCCTAAAATCAAGTTCAGAAAACACCGCACGACGTAGAAATGAAACCTAAAGGTTACTGATCACGGATAATAATCAGTGTCCAGTGTTGATGCTGTTAATTCATAACCAATATTTTGTGTTCACATTATTGGTTAACAAAACAATTTAATACTGGATCACTAAATTAAACATTAACACAGAAAAATTTAGATATTTGGGACACTCTGTTAATTCAGAACATCATACCAGGCACATTTCAGTCAAATCATCATTCTTCACATAAAGCAACTATGTACTACTGTTAAACACCAATTTGCTCTCTTACCTAACAGTAATAGGAATGGCTAGTCTTTTATCTGACTGGTTCTCAGCCTCGCGGGTTCCACTTCGCATCAGAATATAGCGATTCTTCAACTTCTCACCAGCCTGTTCAGAAAGTCTAGGACCACACCGACTTGAAAAAATAAAAATCCCCAAAATTAGCTGGAGCGTTTTTTTTTTTTTTCTTTTGCCTTATTAAGACATTCTACCTTGAGCATTCAGATCAAGGAAAAAACTGCATTATATTTTAATTCATGATCAAATGAGATATTTTAAGAAAAACAATTTGTATTTATTTCCCATTTGGAATTTTTGTCCACTAACAATTCTCACCATCAAAATGTACTTCAAACCATTTCAAAGTCTCTACATTGCACTGCAGTCTATAATTCAATCCAATACAGATTAGAAGGAACTGTTCCGGATAGCTAAATGGTAGTGCCTTAAATTCACAATCGATGGAACCAGGTTCAATCCTACAGCAGATAATGATATTTCTCCATGAACATTATTCCTATTCACCTACCAGTAAACAGACTATCAGCTGCTAGCCTTTAAATTCAATGGTATAAAACAAAAATCACACTACAGTAATGAAGTAATTATTGCAATCTGATCAACCACACACATTATGTCCTCACCTTCTACAGTAGCTGATATATTTTTTCAAGAACTTGAGAGAGAGTTCACCTTCTGGAGTTTCTTCAGCTGTCTTCAGAGCATTCAGGTGAACATTCATGACATGCTTGGCCAAAGTCTACAATGAGAGAGCAGACTGTTTAAAAACTTTATACTATTTAAAAGAATTTTTTTTTTATACACATCCAGTACAACACACAAAAATAACATTACAATAAATCATTCACAAAAATACTGACTACATTCTGACAGGTAAACATACGTACTGTATCTCTGGTTTCATCATGCTCATCTTTAACTATGTATATCATGTCAAATCGAGAGAGGATTGTGGGCATAAAATCTATATTTTCCTCTCCCTTAGTGTCATCCCATCGCCCAAATACAGAGTTTGCAGCAGCCATTACTGAACACCGTGAGTTTAAGGTAGTGGTAATTCCAGCCTTGGCAATGGAGATTGTCTGCTGTTCCATCGCTTCATGAATTGCCACACGATCATCTTCACGCATCTTGTCAAACTCGTCAATGCACACAACACCACCATCAGCAAGCACCATGGCACCACCCTCCATCACAAAGTTACGCTGTTGGAATATTAAAAATTAGGACACTTGAGTTTCACCCTTCAATTAAAAATACCATGAATAAATTTAAGAAAGTAATCACCCCCATGCTAAATACATACTTGGAGTTTTCAGTTATGAACTTACCGACACTGGATCCCTTGTAACTGAGGCTGTTAAACCAGCAGCAGAGGATCCTTTTCCCGATGTATAAACTGCAATAGGGGCCACTCGTTCCACAAACTTTAACAACTGAGATTTAGCCGTACCAGGATCACCGAGCAGCAAAACGTTAATGTCTCCTCTTCGTGTCAAACCATCAGGAAGACGCTTCCGAGAACCACCAAACAGCAGGCATGCTACTGATTTCTTTATGTCTTCAGATCCATAGATACTGGGGGCGATGCTTCGAGAAATCCTTTCATAGACATTGTTTGACTGTGAAAGCAGGCGGAATTCTTCCTCCTCTGCAGAAGATATAGTGATACCAGATGTGTATCCTCGTCCTTCCTGGTCAGCCTGAATACCCACTACCCTCAAGTATGGGGCACGGATACCTACTGCAACCTTGTCACGCGTCCCTTTCTGCTTGAAGAACAATTATATTACTACAAATCAAGTATATATATATATAGGTAGTAGGTTGGTAGACAGCAACCACCCAGGGAGGTACTACTGTCCTGCCAAGGGGGTGTAAAACGAGAGCCTGTAATTGTTTTACACGATGGTAGGATTGCTGATGTCTTGTCCATCTCATAAATATGCAAGATTACAGGTACATCTTGCTACTTCTACTTACACTTAGGTCACACTACACATACATGTACATGTCTATTTATACACACTCATCTGAGTTTTCTTTGATTTTATCTTAACCCTTTGTCGAGCGAGGCCGAAAAAATTCGGTATTAATTACGTGTTTTTGGCTCGTGTCATACTTCGCGCCCCGCGCGGCCAGCTTCCCGTTCTTTAGTTCCAACCAATCACAAGCCTTCCCTGAGTCTCTTCAGCTAAGTACAGTTCGCTTCTGCCGCCTTCCCATTGGTTGAGAGATCAAAATATAAACACTGGTGGCTTGGCTTCGCCCACACACGCATTTCTCCCTCCACCCTTACTAATCTACTCTTGGATTATACATTCTACAATGTCGGTAAGTACTGATTGTTGTGTTTAGTGCTTACATGAATAGTTTAGGCATATTTTGATATATACCTAAAGTCCGTGTGAAGCATAATATGAGTGTAGCATGCAGTTGAAAAAAGTGCAAGCATTTTAGTCCGAATTCTTTCGGTATTGCGCGAGTTTCCGGGAATGTCCAATTATAGTCAAATAAATATTTATAAAAAAATTTCAATTGCATATATGAACTCTGTAGTGGTCTGGATTTATACAGGAGGTTTCTATTGTCCTTCCAGTTCCATGAGAGGCTGTTTTATGGGGAGCAGTCGACCAGCAGGTCGAGGTATGTCTGCGTTTCTGAAGACAGTGACTCGGAACCAGAGGTAGACGAACCAGAATTGCTGGATAGTGGTGATGAATACTTGCCACCGGATGCACAGGATGCAGAGATGTCAAGTGATGATGAGGAGGAAGAAAGGAAAGAAAGGCCAGCCAAAAAGCAGAAAGTAATGAGGAAAAAGAAAACTTTTAGGATTGAGGAATACTCGGATGAGGAAGAGATCCATGAGAATATTGCTCTTCAAAGTAAATCTGTGCATAAAGACTGATAGAAATTGTTTCTCAGACTTCCATCTTTCCATTTAGCAATATAGAATCATTGGTCTTCCAAATGAATCTCAGGAATATAGGGATTGAAACTTGCATCACTTTGCAATTTGGCATTGTTGATATTTGCTTCCTTTTTATATTTTTGTAACAATTAAAAAATGTTTTGATACAAGTTCCATTTATGTTTTTTATATTGTCTGTTTGTATATTAAATATAAAAAATTGTTTTGGTGTGTTTTATTAACAATTGCAAGTTTGCAACATAAATTTTTTTAATCCCTTTGTCGGGCGCAGCCAAATATTTTCGGTATTCGGAGATTAGCAATTGCTCGAAAACTAACCATCAGAAATCAATTTATATGGGATCAGTGACCTTGTATTGAGTTACTCTATCCACCATAGGGAGTTCAGTTCGAATTTCAAATTTTCGGACCCCTTGCGCGATGAAGGGTTATTAGTTCTTGTTCTTATTACTTTTCCTTTTATATCCATGGGGGAGTGAAATAAGAATCTTTCCTCCATGAGCCATGCGTGTTGTAAAAGTCAACTAAAATGCCGGGAACAATGGGCTAGTATCCCCTTTTCAGAAAAAAAAAAGAAAAAAGAAAAAAAAAAAAAAAAGAAAAAAGAAAAAAAAAGAAAAAAAAAAAGAAGAAAAAAAAAAGAAAAAAGAAAAAAAAAAAAAAAAAAAAAAAAGAAAAAGAAAAGAAAAAAAAAAAGAAAAAAAAGAAAGAAAAAAAAAAAAAAAAAAGAAAAAAAGAAGAAAAAAAAAAGAAAGAAAAAAAAAAAGAAGAAAAAAAAAAAGAAGAAAAAAAAAAAAAAAAAAAAAAAGAAGAAAAAAAAAGAAAAAAAAAGAAAAAAAAAAAAAGAAAAAAAAAAGAGAAAAAAAAAAGAAAAAAAAAAGAAAAAAAGAAGAAAAAAAAAGAAAAAAAAAGAAGAAGAAGAAGAAAATGATAAGAAAGAGATGATTGTGGATGTTATGAATGAGAAGCTGGATGTCCTGGCTTCAGTGAAACAAAGCTGAAGGGGGTGGGAGAGTTTCAGAGGAGAGAAGTAAATTGGATTAGGTCAGGGGTTTCAAATAGAGTTAGAGCTAAAGAAGGAGTAGCAATAATGTTGAAGGATAAGTTATGGCAGGAAAAAAGAGGGAGCATAAATGTATTAATTCAAGGATTACGTGGAGTGAAGTAAAAGTTGGATGTGAAAAGTAGATTATAGTAAGCGTATATGCACCTGGAGAAGAGTGTGTAGAGGAGAGAGAGTTTACTTGGAGACAGTTCTGGGGGTCAGCGCACTCGCGGCCCAGTTTTGGGAATTGTTGAGTGTGTGTGGGGGGATTTTTGAACCAAGTGTGAGAGTACTTGTGGTTGGGGATTTCAATGCCAAAGTGGGTAAAAATGTTGTGGAGGGAGTAGTAGGTAAATTTGGGGTGCCAGGGGTAAATGAAAATGGGGAGCCTTTAGTTGAGCTGTGTAGAAAGAGGTTCGGTAATAAGTAATACATATTTTATGAAAAAGATGATAAATAAATATACAAGGTATGATATAACACGTAATGAAAGTGGTTTGTTAGATTATATATTGGTGGATAAAAGGTTGATGGGTAGGCTTCAACATGTATATGTTTACAGAGGGGCAACTGATATACCGAATCATTATTTAGTTGTAGCTACAGTTAGAGTAAGAGGTAGATGGGACGAAAGGAAAATGGCAACAAGTAAGAGAGAGGTGAAAGTGTATAAACTAAAAGAGGAAAAAGTGCAGGTGAGATATAAGCAACTATTGGCAGAAAGGTAGGCTGGTGCAAGTATGAGAAGTGGGGGGGTTGAAGAGGGTTGGAATAGTTTCAGAAATGCAGTATTAGAATGTGGGGCAGAGGTATGTGGCTATAGGAGGGTGGGGGCAGGAGGAAAAAGGAGTGATTGGTGCAATAATGAAGTAAAGGGTATGATAAAGGAGAAAAAAGGTAGCTTATGAGAGATTTTTAAAAAGCAGAAGTGTTATAAGAAGAGCAGAGTATATGGAGAGGAAAAGAAAGGTGAAGAAAGTGGTGAGTGTAAAAGGAGAGCAGATGATAGAGTGGGAGAGGCACTGTCAAGAAATTTTGATGAAAATAAGAAAAAATTTTGGTGAGAAACGAGCTAAGAAAGCCTAGAGAACGAATGGATTTGTCAGTTAAAAATAAAGTAGGGGAGTTAGTAGATGGGGAGATAGAGGTATTGGGTAGATGGCAGGAATATTTTGAGGAACTTTTAAATGTCGACGAAGAAAGGAAGGCGGTAATTTCATGCACTGGCCAGGAAGGTATAACATCTTTTAGGAATGAAGAGCAGCAGTATGTGAGTGTGGGGGAGGTGCGTGAGGCATTACGTAGAATGAAATGGGGTAAAGCAGCTGGAACTGACGGGATCATGACAGAAATGTTGAAAGCAGGGGGGGATATAGTGTTGGAGTGGTTGGTGTTTTTGTTGAATAAATGTATGAAAGAGGGGATGGTACCTTAGGATTGGCAGAGAGCATGTATAAAAGGAAAGGGGACAAAAGAGATTGTAAAAATTATAGAGGAATAAGTTTACTGAGTATATCAGGAAAAAATGTATGGTAGGGTTATTACTGAAAGAATTAGAGGCAAGACAGAATGAAGGATTGCAGATGAGCAAGGAGGTTTTAGAGTGGGTAGGTGGATGTGTAGATCAAGTGTTTACATTGAAGCATATATGTGAACAGTATTTAGATAAAGGTAGGGAATTTTCATTGCATTTATGGAGTTAGAAAAGGCATATGATAGAGTGGATAGGGGAGCAATGTGGCAGATGTTGCAAGTATATGGAATAGGTAGTAAGTTACTAAATGCTGTAGAGTTTTTTTGAGGATAGTGAGGCTCAGGTTAGGGTGTGTAGAAGAGAGGGAGACTACTTCCCGGTAAAGATGAGTCTTAGACAGGGATGTGTGATGCCACCATGGTTGTTTAATATATTTATAGATGGGGTTGTAAAAGAAGTAAATGCTAGTGTTGGGGAGAGGGGTGGGATTAAATTATGGGGAATCAAGTACAGAATGGGAATTGACACAGTTACTTTTTGTTGATGATGACTGTGCTTAAGGGAGATTCTAAAGAAAAGTTGCAAAGGTTAGTGGATGAGTTCGGGAGTGTGTGTAAATGTAGAAAGTTGAAAGTGAACATAGAAGAGGGTAAGGTGATGAGGGTATCAAATGATTTAGATAAAGAAAAATTGGATATGAAATTGGAGAGGAGTATGGAAGAAGTGAATGTTTTCAGATATTTGGGAGTTGACGTGTCAGTGGATGAATGTACGAAAGATGAGGTTAACCACACAATTGATGAAGGACAAAAGGCGAGTGGTGCACTGAGGTATATGTGGAGACAAAAAACATTATCTATGGAGGCAAAGAAAGGAATGAATGAAAGTATAGTGGTACCAACACTCTAATATGGGTGTGAAGCTTGGGTTGTAAATGTTGCAGCGAGGAGGCGGTGGAGATGTCCTGTCTAAGGGCAATGTGTGGTGTAAATATTATGCAGAGAATTTGAAGTGTGGAAATTAGGAGAAGGTGTGGAGTTAATAAAAGTATTAGTCAGAGGGATGAAGAGGGGTTGTTGAGGTGGTTTGGTCACTTAGAGACAACGGATCAAAGTAGAATGACATGGAGAGCGTATAAATCTGTAGGGGAAGGAAGATGAGGTAGGGGTTGTCCTTGAAAAGGTTGGAGGGAGGGGGTAAAGGTGGTTTTGTGGGCAAGGGGCTTTGACTTCCAGCAAGCATGCATGAGCATGTTAGATAGGAGTGAATGGAGACAAATGGTATTTGGGACCTGACGAGCTGTTGGAATGTGAGCAGGATAATATTTAGTGAAGGGATTCAGGGAAACCAGTTTTTTTTGTATAGCCAGACTTGAATAATGGAAATGGGAAGTACAATGCCTGCACTTTAAAGGAGGGGGTTCGGGATACTGGCAGTTTGGAAGGATATGCTGTGTACTTTTATACGTACATGCTTCTATTGGCAGTTTACAGGGATATGTTGTGTATCTTTATACGTATATGCTTCTAAGCTGCTGTGTTCTGAGCACCTCTGCAAAAACAGTGATTATGTGTGAGTGAGGTGAAAGAGTTGAATGATGATGAAAGTATTTTCTTTTTGGGGATTTTCTTTCTTTTCAGGTCACCCTGCCTCGGTGTGAGACGGCCAACTTGTTAAAAAGAAAAACAAAAATAATAATATATATATATATTTTGTAGGTAGTACGTTGGTAGACAGCAATCGCCCAGGGAGGTACTACCATCCTGCCAAGTGAGTGTAAAACGAAAGCCTGTACCCTCTGGACCCTATTTGGAAATTGGCATCTTTTGAAATTTGTGTGAAATTGGCAAAATTGCTAAATTCTGACCACTGTATTGGATAGTTCAAATTGGTAAATGGGTGGTTTATTGTACTCATTCAATAGAAAAAATGGAGTTCTAGCGAAATAGTTATGATTTTTGTCAACTAGTACACTGGAATTAGCCGAAAATAGGTCTCAAAGTGGGCAAAATCGCCTATGCGTAAACATCATCGAGACCACTAACTTCGCAAGAGCATAATTCCATAAGTTTTCCATCAAATTTCATACTTTTGGTGTCATTTTTTTTTTTTTTTAATTAAATTTAGGCGACCCTGAGAACAAGTCTGGGAGAAGGCCTGGGGACCCTGAAAGGGTTAACAGGCAAACAAATTTTAGACTCTTTAAAAGATGGAAATCTCTGTGCAATAAATTAGCTCTGGCTTGCACTTTAAATCTGCTGCAACTACACAGAGAAGCAAAGTGAAGTGATCCTTAGCTGCCTTGAAACTGGCTGTACTTTTTCTTGCTTGCTGATTTATGTTCTTGATAGCATACACTACCAAGATAACCCAGTTAAGTCAGAATTAAACACTTGAAGAGAACGGCATCCATTCCCAGAAATAATTTTCATGAAGTCAGCATGGAAATTTCCCAAACCCAGTGTGGCACAGGGGTACCATGAGTACAATACAAGAACACTATTGACATTCGAGAGCCACAACTATTTAACAGATACAAGAAATACTGCTGGAACAGGTTTAAAAGTCTTCAAGAGGAACCTATCCCTATCTCCTACTGCCAGATTAATGTGGCTGTCATGAATGTGGGCCAGGAGGTCACCAACAGGAGCAGCATGGCTGACCAGACAGAGCAAAAACGCCTGGGCCTGGCTGCAAAAGTAGAAAGACGAGAAATCAATCTCGTGTGCCACAAGTATAGCAACATGATCAGCTGATGCACTCGCCACTAGACCTTATGCTATGATGCTAATTGCACTTTTAAACCACTGAGCATTAACGCTGTTGTGAAGGCTCTTTGTACGATGAGTTTTGTGCCTTATCAACATTAAGTAGATCACCCTTTATTTTCCTACCAATTCACACAGTAACATTTGCCTTATTTAGTTGCACTGAGCACATTAACATTCTTTTCATTACATCACAATATGCACACGCACTTATTTTCGTGTCACTGTCTCTAACTGTAAGGATGGTGGATTCTCTCCAACCAAAAATGTGGGGAGTCTGTACAACACACATGCCACTTCACACCATATCTTCCATTTCTACTTTCTTGGGTATCAAGGCTTCATGCCTTTTTTTTTTTTTTAACATTCAGCATCCCAGTTTTATTATTAGTTGTCATGGTTAATATCCAAAGATGAGTTGGGCTGATTAAATACATACCTTAGACCCAACTTGGGTGAGTGGTAGCAAAATCCTTAGCACAGACAACCAAGGTTTTGTAAACAACAAAAAAGACAATACTGTGACTGGTTTTGTAACGGTTTCCAGGTTTGCTGAGCATATTATCAAGGCTTTCTCATTTTGTAAGAGGGATTACTGTGCTAAATACTAAAATTTACGTTATTATCATTTTGCTACAGCAAAATACCCCTCTACATAACTTTTCAACAGATGTGCAAAGTACAGTAGACTGTTGGATAATATGTGATCTGTTAACTTGTTTTAACTCCAACATGGTTACAAGATTGCATCACATTTTCAGTGAATGCAGCAAAAAATCAGTTTACACAATGAAGTACATATAGATGAAAATGTGGCACTGCTATGTTTTTCCTTGTCTTACAGTGAGCCTCAAAGCCAGTGCATTGTTTTATTGGCTAGTGGGTGGGAGCATGTGAGATAGTAAGGACAGGGTACTGGATGAAGAAGTTACAGTGAGTGAAGATCTGAGCCAAAGGGTGAGAGTAGCCTGCTGGTGCATGATGCCACTCCCATCCCATGTTCCTATCACCCGATGTATGTCCCATCGTATGTCCCATGTAGCACTACAGCATTTCATCTGATAGGCACTGGTGTAAGGATGGGTACTAGCAGGTGGGTGAGGATATATGGGCAAGGATATGAAGGTGAGGCCAAGTGTTTGGGATGGGGGTTGGAGGTGGGTGCTAGCATAGGGAAGGGAGTATGGGTGAAGGTCAACTGTGAAAGATGGGCGATGGGGAGGGGGGGCGGCTGATGATGGACAAATGTTTTGGTCCACAGCTGTCCCACCCTCCAACTATGGGGGAAGAGGATGAAGGCATGCAGGTGAAGGATGAGTGAAGATGGATGAGGGCTAGAATGTATGGGAAGAGGGAAGTAAAAAAAAATAAGCAGGGGTGTAAAAAAAATATAGGCAAAGGGGTGTAAATAAAATGTGCCCACATACCCTTACTGCACGCTCAGCAACCTCACCCATTCTGCCAACAACCCTGACCCATACCACCTACCCCTACAATTCTCCCACAACCACTTTCACACACACCATTAAAACCTACAACCTACCCCACACCACTCCCAACAGCCCCACTCGGAACACATACTAACATGTCATCTACACACCTAATCACAACTACCCACCACCCTCATTACTGCTCACACCACCAACCGTACACTCACCCCACCCCCACATAGGGCCACCAACAGTGCCACCCATACAGTAACCATGTAACCATCACACTGTCTAGTTGCTTCCAGCCTCCAGCTCCTGCCCCTCCTTCCCCATTCAGTCTCCACCTCCAGCAATAGCAGTTCCCCAATCCCCATTCATCAGTCCCCACTCCAACTGCTCTAACCCCTCCAGTGTATACCAAAACCACTAACCCCTTCTTTATAACCCCCATACAGTTGATGAATGAGACTTGTGCAACATTTGGATTGCACTAGTGTACCATTCATCATTTTACTGGTTTTCTAAACCACTTATAACCCCTAAATAGCTGCAATGAGTAGCACATCCAAACAAAAAGGTACCTCTGGCTGCAGGATTGTTGACTGATACACATCACTACATCAACCTACAATTAATTACATTATCATTTTTTATGCAATTTACAGACGAATAAAAATTAGGCTAACTGTTTTGTTTTGCAGGGGTCTAATGAATGTAACCCTATTTTCCCGCATGTTCTACAGTTATGTTTACTCTTTTTTTCATACACGCCATTTTTGGCAATGTAACTACCGTGTTATCCAATGGTCAACTGTATCTCTTACAAGAGCCAATTCTGGCGGAACTCTTCAGTGAATGATTTGAGACCTAATTCAAAAACGACTTAAAACATGTGAAGGCTACTAGAGTAGGTTTAATACACATCCAATATTTTAGGAATGCTTATTTGCAAAAGGAATGAAAGTTAGTTACAAGACAGACAGAATGTAACATTTATTCCAACTTACACTTTGTTTGCCAACTTTCTTGATAGAATAAATACCAAGGACAGTCACACGATTACCAGGCACCACACGTTCACAAAGTGATCTGAAAATAAAATTTACATTAAAAAAAAAATCACCATTTTCTAAGTACATTTTGTCGAAGAAAAAGATCATCTACAAATCAAATACAGTATATTAGTGTAATCAAAAACTAGTGAAATACTGTACACTTACAATATTTATAACACTACAGGAGCACTGCAATAGGCCTACTGGCCCATACTAGGTAGATTATTTCATTCGTCCAAAAATACTACTTTCCTATTTTATTAACACATTGGAAGTTTCCCACCAAGGCAGTGCAGCCCGAAAAAGAAAAACTTTCATCATCACTCACTCCATCACTGTCTTGCCAGAGGCATGCCTACACCAGTTATAAAACTACAACGTAATTACCCCTCCTTCAGAGTGCAGACACTGCACTTCATCTCCAGGAATCAAGTCTGGCCTGCCGGTTTACCTGAATCCCTTCATAAATGTTAGCTTGCTTACATTCCAACAGCACATCAAGCCCAAAAAAACATTTGTCTCCATTTGCTCCTGTCTAACACGCTCATGCAAGCTTGCTGGAAGTCCAAACCACTCGCACACGAAACATCCTTTACCCCCTCCCTCCAACCTTTCCTAGGCAGACCCTTACCCTGCCTTCCCTCCACTACAGATCTGTATACTCTCCAAGTCATTCTATTTTGTTCCATCCTCTATACAGGTCCAAACCATCTCAATAACCCTTACTCAGCCCTCTGGATTTATAGCACCGAATATCATTCAGTAACACCTGCCTAACTCTAAGGCCTCATTCAATGTTTGAATCCGCATTCATTACGAAGTCACAAGCATCTTCTACTTTCGCAATTAATGTTGATTAGTTCATCCAATTCAAAGATAGTAGGTTGGTAGACAGCAACCGCCCAGGGAGGTACTGCCGTCCTGCCAAGTGAGTGTAAGACAAAAGCCTGTAATTGTTTTACACGATGGTAGGATTGCTGGCGTCTCTTCTTGTCTCAAACGTGCAAGATTTCAGGTACGTCTTGCTACTTCTATTTACACTTAGGCACACTACACATGCATGTACAAGCGTATATATTACATATCCCTCTGGGTTTCCTTCTATTATCTTACTAGTTCTTTTTCTTGCTTATTTCCTATTATCTCCGAAGGGAAGTGGAACAGAATTCTTCCTCCTCCGTAAGCTGTGTATGTCGTAAGAGGCGACTAATATGCCAGGAGCAAGGAGCTAGTCACCCCTTCTCTATATATTACTTAAGTTAAAAAGAGAAACCATATTGGTAGACAGCAACCACCCAGGGAAGTACTACCGTCCTGCCAGATGACTGTGAAACAGAAACCTTTAACTGTTTTACATGATGGTAGGATTGCTGGTGTCTTTTTCTGTCTCATAAACACGCTAGATAACAGGGATATCTTGCTACTCCTACTTACACTTTGGTCACACTTCAGACATGAACATGTATATATATATATATATATATATATATAGATGTATGTGTAAATGCAGTGTAAATGTATGTGTAAATGTATGGTAAATGCAGCAGCGAGGAGACGGTTGGAGGCAGTGGAGATGTCCTGTCTAAGGGCAATGTGTGGTGTAAATATTATGCAGAAAATTTCCGGAGTGTGGAAATTAGGAAGAAGGTGTGGAGTTAATAAAACATTAGCCCAGAGGGCAGAAGAGGGTTGTTGAGGTTTTTGGGCCCATTTAGAGAGAATGGATCAAAGTAGAATACAGGGAAAAGCATATAATCTATAGTGGAAGGAAAGAGGGGTAGGGTCGTCCTCAAAAGGGTTGGAAAGAGGGGTAAAGGGGGTTTTTGTGGGCGAGGGGCTTGGACTTCCAGCAAGCGTGCATGACGTGTTAGATGGGAGTGAATGGAGACGAATGATACTTGGGACCTGACGATCTGTTGGAGCGTGAGCAGGGAAATATTTAGTAAAGGGGATTCAGGAAACCGGTTTTTTTCTTATAGCGGACTTGAGTCCGGGAAATGGGAAGTACAATCCTGCACTTTAAAGGAGGGTTTGGGATATTGGCAGTTTGGGGGGATATGTTGTGTATCTTTATACTATATGCTTCTAAACTGTTGTATTCTGACCCTCGCAAAAGCAGTGATAATGTGTGAGTGTGGTGAAAGTTTGAATGATGATGAAAGTATTTTCTTTTTGGGGATTTTTCTTTTTTGGGTCACCCTGCCTCGGTGGAGACGACCCAACTTTTGAAAAAAAAAAAAAAAAATATATATATAATAATACAGTGACCCCCGCATAACGATGGCACCATAGCATTAATTTCCCCCATACCGCTTACTTAATTCCAAAAATTTTTGCCTCACATACCGCTTAAAAAACCCGCTTACCATTTTCGTCCGAGACGCGCCCAATGTGCGGCCTGACCACGCTCACATGTTCCGCCGGGTGGCATTGTTTACCAGCCAGCCTCCGCAGTAAAAATCCAAGCATACAATCGGAATATTTCGTTATACAGTGTTTCGGTGCTTTTCGGGAAAATAAGTGCCATGGGCCCCAAGAAAGTTCTAGTGCCAAACCACACAATAAGGGAGAATTAAAATAGAGATGAAAAAAAGATCATTGATAAGATGAAAGTGGATCATGTCTCCAGCTGGCCAGTTTGTAATAATAAACCCCAATCAACCATCGCTACTATTGGGTGGTAAGCTGCTGCTTGCTGCTGCACTGTCAGCTGCGCGCTGCTGCTGACTGTCACTGCTGCTGCTGCTGACACCGTTTTTGTGTGGCTTATTGGAATACCAAGAAACAATAACCCCAAGGACTTGCCACCCGGGATAACCCAAAAAAGTCAGTGTCTCGAAGACTGTCTACTATTTCCATTGGGGTCCTTAATCTTGTCTCCAGGAAGCAACCACACCATCGACTAACACCCGGGTGAACAGGGAAAAATGCCGGGAACTAGTCTCTATTGGTGAATTTAAAGCCAGCAAAGTTGGTTGAGAGATTTGAACGTAGTGCATACACAGTGTATAAGGCCTGTTCTGGAAGAAAATGCCAAACAGGACCTACATACTCAGAGGAAAAAGGCACTCCCAGACACAGTGTCTCATCAGTCTTTGCTGCATCTTCAATAAGGTAAGTGTCATTTATTCTTCATTTAGTAACTATACATCACAATATAACTGTGCATTACTAATCTACTTTGGCAGTATCCTCTTTGTTGTGGGAAAATTTATTTCATGTGTAAAATTTTTTTTTTCATACTTTTGGTTGTCTTGCACGTTTAATTTTATTTCCATTATTTTATGGAAATTTCATTCACATAACGATTATTTCGCTACAATTACCCCTTGCACATTAATCGTTAACCGGGTCCACTGTATATATTATATATTATATATATATATATATATATATATATATATATTTTTTTTTTTTTTTTTTTCAACAAGTCGCCGTCTCCCACCGAGGCGGGGTGACCCAAAAAAGAAAGAAAATCCCCAAAAAAAAAATACTTTCATCATCATTCAACACTTTCACCACACTTCACATTATCACTGTTTTTGCAGGGGTGCTCAGAAACAACAGTCTAGAAGCATACACATATAAAGATACACAACAAAATCCCTCCAAACTGCCATACCCCAAAACCCCCCTCCTTTAAAGTGCAGCATTGTACTTCCCATTTCCAGGACTCAAGTCCGACTATATGAAATAACCGGTTCCCTGAATCCCTTCACAAATATTACCCTGCTCACACTCCAACAAATCGTCAGGTCCCAAGTACCATTCGTCTCCATTCACTCCTATCTAACACGCCTCACGCACGCTTGCTGGAATCCAAGCCCCTTACCCCAAAACCTCCTTTACCCCCTCTCTCCAACCCTTTCGGGGACACCCCTACCCCGCCTTCCTTCCCCTATAGATTTATATGCTTTCCATGTCATTCTACTTTGATCCATTCTCTCTAAATGACCAAACCACCTCAACAACCCTTCTTCTGCCCTCTGACAATTTACTTTTATTAACTCCACACCTTCTCCAAATTTTCCACACTCCAAAATTTCTGCATAATATTTACACCACACATTCCCCTTAAACAGGACATCTCCACTGCCTCCAACCGTCTCCTCGCTGCTGCTTTTACCACCCAAGCTTCACACCCATATAAGAGTGTTGGTACACTTTTACTTTCATACTTTCCCCTTTCTTTGCCTCCATAGATAACGTTTTTTGACTCCACATATACCTCAACGCACCACTCACCTTTTCCCTCATCAATTCTATATTAACCTCATCCTTCATAAATCCATCCGCCGACACGTCAACTCCCAAGTATCTGAAAACATTCATTTCTTCCATACCCCTCCTCCCCAATTTGATATCCAAATTTTTTTCTTTACTAAATCATTGACACCCTCATCACCTTACTCTTTTCTATGTTCACTTTCAACTTTCTACCTTTACACACATTCCCAAACTCATCCACTAACCTTTGCAATTTTCTTTAGAATCTCCCATAAGCACAGTATCATCAGCAAAAAGTAACTGTCAATTCCCATTTTTGATTTGTTTCCCCCATAATTTAATCCCACCCCTCCCCCAAAACACCCTAGCATTTACTTCCTTAACAACCCCATCTATAAATATATTAAACAACCATGGTGACATTACACATCCCTGTCTAAGACCTACTTTCACCCGGGAAATATTTCTCCCTCCTTCTACACACCCTAACCTGAGCCTCACTATCTTCATAAAAACTCTTTACAGCATTTAATAACTTACCACCTATTCCATATACTTGCAACATCGCCACATTGCTCCTCTATCCACTATCATATGCCTTTTCTAAATCCAAAAAATGCAATAAAAACTTCCCTACCTTATCTAAATACTGTTCACATATATGCTTCAATGTAAACATTTGTCTACACATCCCCAAACCCCTCTGAAACCTCCTTGCTCATCCGCAATCCTACTTTCTGTCTTACCTCAAATTTCTTTCAATTATAACCCTAAACCGTACACTTTTCCTGGTATACTCAGTAAGCT